TGTGTGTGTGTGTGTGTGTGAAAGACCCTAACCCTTCAGGCTTATACCCCCCAAGTCCCAGGAAATAAGGAACTAAAAAGAAAACTAGTTCCAAGGGCCACCTGACTCAGCCATTAATCAACCACCCCTGTAACAATGTAACAATGTAAAAAGATTTCTGTTAAGAGATGTGCTCAACTGTGACTGGGATAGTTGCAGGTGTTCCAGGAAGGACCACTGTGACCTTTGTGTAAACTCCACTCCCGCCCTGATACCCCCCTTGAGGTTTTAGGAAGACTGTACATGCGGACATGACTGTACCCACTCTGTGATCAGACCATGATCTTGTGAAACGAAATTGTATGGGAATTGTAATCTTATGGCTTTTGTGGGTTTTTCCTTTAAAAGCACCCATGTGGCTACAGTAAGATGCATCTCTTGCTCTCAGGACAAGAGTAGCCCGTCTGTACAGTCGCTTCAATTAAAAACCTCTTGCTACTGCATCAACTGGACTGGAGTCTGGGTTCTTGGGGCGCCCACTTGAGACCCAAGATTTTGGGGTCTAACATGTGTTATGCCTATGCATGAAGATATGCAGGCTGGTTTGTTGCAGAGACCAGAGGAGGAGAGTGGGTATCCTTTTCTATTATTCTGTGCCTTGTTCACTTGAGGAAAGACCTCTCACTGAAACTGGATTTTGGTGCTTTTTAGCCAGGCTGGTGGCCAGCAGGCTTTGGTTGATTTTCTTGTCTCTGTCCCCCAGCACCAGAGTCACAGGTGCTTATGGCTATGTCCACCATTTAAGTAAGTGCTGGGTCCTCATGCTTGTGCAGCAAGACCTCTTTCTGAGTCATCTCCTTAAGCCCCCTGCATCATATTCTTTATCTACAATAGGTGTACACTCTTCCATGCTGGTAGTGATCTCCCAGTGGTAATATCACTTACTGATCTTCCTTTTTAATTTTTTTAATGAGAGCATCTTGCTGTGCAGCTCAGACTAGCCAGCAACTCTTCATTCTTATGTCTCAAACTCTCAAGCACTAGAATATAACAGGTGTACACACACCATCCCCATACTTGTACTCCTTTTGATATTTTGTTTTGTGGATTATATTTTATGGATGTAGTTTATGTATACTTGTGAACCTCACTCTCTCTATTTCTGCAAAAAGTTCTTATTATTGGACCTCACATACAGAATGGGTTCATACACAGTAGCTGTTACTATCAAGAATATTACTACTGGAGGAATGTCTTTCTGGATTTCATAAGATTGCTTTCACTTCTCTAGGAGCTGCTTGGTACTTCATAGTCATTGTTGAACATGTGTGGTCATGATGACCTAAGTGCATCTTTTCTGGGGAATCTTCCATCTGAGTATGAATTGCAGGGGAAAAGGATGTCCTCATGGTGAGCTTTTACAGTAGTTTTTGATCTTGTTTTTGCTTTGTCTAATTTTTTAATTATTAATTTTATTATTTTTAATTCTGTGTAAGTGTGTGGTATGCAAACATGAGTGAGCATACTCACAAAGGCCTAAGATACTGAATCTTCCAGAAGGTGGAGGTACACATGGCTGTAAGCTGCCCAGTGTGGATGCTAAGAAGTGAACTTGGGTCCTCTGAAAGGACAGTGTGTGCTCTTCACCATGGAACCATCTCTCTAGCCCCTGAGTTTTGTTTTAATTTTCCCTTAATTAATTATTTTGAATTTGTTCAAACTTATTTGGCTCAGCTATAATCCTTGTTAGATACTTGCATTTTCCTTTGAATGAAGAAAAAATAATGGATCTTTCCTTTATTGTAGAATTGGCAGCAAGTATCACATGAACATGTTTGTCTAGTGGTATAATAAACAAAATGTCCTTCTCCTTTCTCTCCAAGATGACAAACACCCTATGCTTCTTCTTCATAATCCCCCTGTTTTTTCATTGTGCTCAACCTGAAATGACTTGGTCAATTCCAAGAGATGAGGAATCTGATATTTGTCTAATTTGTTAGCAAAATGCTTTTTGTGGTGTTTCATCTCAATATACACACTTTGTGAAGGAACTCTACCTAGCTCAAGCATGGCAAATATGGCTCTAGTGTGCTTGCCCCTCTCCCCAATTTCCTCTGCCTTGCTAAAACACATTAGATTACCTTCATAAAGCTAGTCAAGGTCTGTTACCTTATTTGTCCAATTCCTCCTCCTGAGGCTGTCTACTAAGGTTCATCTATCAAAGTATTGAAGTCCAGTAATCAAAATCCTCCTTTGGCTACCATAATTAACATGACCAATCAAAATTAAACACCTCATTCTAAAATTGGGTGTCCTCTTTTACCTTTATAAACTGCCTTTGCCTATGGGTCATGTCTGTCTCCTCTCTATCCAGGCCAGATATTTGCCCTGGATATCCCTCTCCATCATCCTCTGTCTCCTGTCTTTGTCTTTTACTCCCTGTTCTTTGTACCTCTGGGGCAAATAAATCCCCTTTGTGCTGAGAACTTGGTCTTGGGGTATCTTCTACCAAATATCAGTCCCTTTAGTTTGTTGCCAAATTTCTAGAGCTTTCTTACAGAAACTATCAAGTACATTTCTTTTAGCATGAGGTAGGATTGGAGACTTTGCCTATTGCCTTTTTTTCAGTGATTCTGAGTTGATGGCATGTAGAAAACTAAGACAACAACAAAACTCTGAAAACAAAACAAAACAAATATTAACGAACAATAAAACCTAACCAGTCACACTACAGGCCTGGGTCTGAACTGGACATGTTCTTCCTATGGCTAAGCCTCTATATACTGTTTCTTTTTTCTTCTTTTTTATTGTGTTAAATGAGAATATAGAACACGTCTTGTAAGTCTCCATTTTCCTAGGGATCTCCTACCCCCACATATATATGTGATCAGCCACAGGGATACTCAGCCAAATATACACATGCACACATAACCTATCCCATTGTGTTTCCTGGAAATTGGGGTTTTATTATTTATTGACACAGAAGCTATGGAGACAGTCATCTGCAGGGTGTAAGAAGCTTAGCATTTTGGCTTATTATGGATTTTGGTATTCTATGCAACAAGTGCATAGGAGGGAATGGATGGATCTATATATCAGTCATTAAAAGATCCTCCCTTTAGATCTATATGTGAAATCGATAATGATATGCTTTTTTTGATTCAGGCAGTGATTTGGCAACTGGTCTTATTTTTCTGATATCTATCACCCATCTTTCTGTCTGTCTATCATCTATCTATCTATCTATCTATCTATCTATCTATCTATCTATCTATATCTATATCTCTATATCTCTCTATATCATACATCTCTATCATCTATCTCTTTTTTTTTAGTTTTCAAAGGACTAATTAAGATGAATATTTTAAACTATAATTTGGGACTACTTTTAAAGTTTTAAACTTTTTATATAACAGGAAACTTAACAGCCGCTTCTCAGTCTTATTTACAGAGGGACCTTTATGAGCGAGCTAGGTCATCTGACTATTGCTTAGAATTTAGTGTATGGTGCTAAGAATGTTCTCCATGTTGTTTAGGAGTGACACTACCAGCTACTATCTGGAGACACAGTGCTGACCAGTTTGTCGTTATCTTCTCCCTCCAGCCTTCCCAATCGTGTATTATCCCTTTGCTTTATTTTATGGGTAACTGTAGACAAACAGGAGAGAGACAGCAAAGAGCACAAATTTTTCTGCATGTAAGACTCAACAATATATTCAATAACAGATTCACCTTTGTATAATGGAAAATATGCTTAAAGAAGTCACCCAAAATTAATAAAATATTAGTAATTCTTACTAATGGCTCACATTTGTTTTAAAGTTGGTTGAATAAGAAGACTGTTATCAACTAATGTGATTGTAGTGTGCTGGTAAATAACAGCTGGGGAACAGCAAATAAATTTACCAAACTAAAGTGAAATGAAAAATGTTAGGGCATGAGTATGAATATGTCATCAAGGGAAGTAATAATTCCTACAATGTTTACCCAAATGACCATCAGTGACAATATAAAACAGGCAGAGTTGGCCAGCTCCATATGAGTCAGGAAGCATTAAAGCCATTGCTAAAAGTATGTTCACAGGATATTATCGCTGTGGAAGTAGTGATGAATCATCACAAAAATAAATCCAATAGGACCCAAACAGGACCAACAAAAATGTCTAAAGTTATATTGAAAAGGAAATAAAGTATTTTTAAAGGATTAGGCAGGGGGAGAGACAATTGCATTAGGTTTGTCATTTCATTACTTTAAATTTTAAGCCAAGTTGCCACTTTCTGTTAGGGAGTCACGTCCAGGTGTGAGTAACAATATGGTCTAGAGCTTTGGATGGGACTTACTTTATGGGCCTGTGGAGAATTTGACACAATAATGGCCTCACAGAAAGAATAAAATAAAATTACCTCCAAAGATGCCTGTTATTATTCAACTGGTCATAAACTTTTGTCTTTGGTCAATAAAAATGAATTTTATATAATGAATACATAGCCCAGAGAAATAATATGACTGACAGTATGATCTTTGGTGGCTCTCTGCATCCCAAATTCTTCATGGACTGGTTCCAGCCAACTACTCAGCCCTTCTCAGATGGTCCTTCCATGCCTTCAAGTTCTAAGTTTCTGATTTACTTATCATATTGTCCTTGTCCAGTTCCATTTCAGGCCCATCCCAAATCTTTACAACACACCCATGAATATGTTATTTGTCTCAGAAGCTTTGCAGACCTCCTTTTCTTGGAAGCAATCTCTTCTTGCTATTAAAATAAGATTACATTTGGAGGCATGGCAGACATAAACATGCCCACCAGTACATGATCAATATTACTTATAAATGAATATATGTATTGTAAGATATTGCACCTTTTAGTCTAGTTGCTTTCTACTAAGGGATAAGTTATTATAATTCTTCCTTAAAGCCTTGACTATAGTAAACAGAAGGAGGTAATGAATGTGTCCCTGTCCACATGCCTCTCACTTCTACTACATAAGGAAAAGTAATAAATTTATGAAAGATAACAGACACATGATTGTCTTAGACTTTATTACCAAACAGTTATGTAAAATATTTTATGAAAAAAACTTTCAGTGATTTAGAAGCTAGAGGGTGGAGACATGAGGATCTGAAGCTCAAAGAGAAGACAGCAATAAAGAGATGTGAGCTCAAGCATTGAGACAATCAGGTTATACCCATAAGAATCCATCTTTCTTTCAGAAAAAAAAAAGTTAATGGAATGCTTTAAATCCTATCTAAAATTTATTAGGGAACTTTTGTTTCTAATCACAAGTAGGAAAAAGAGTTAAAAAATTCCAGGGCTCAATTGCTACTACCCCCTCCAAAGAAGAGTAAATGTAGTTGGAAAGGGGATGGAGAGTGACTGAAGGAATTAAAAGGGAAAAGAGTGGATGTGTGAATATGCTCTAAGTATATTGTATACATGTATGAAATTACTAAAGCAAACATTTTAAAATCCCAGGAAAATTTTAGCTAGGATGCGACAAATGTTTGTTTAAAGGCTTAGTTACAATCCTGAGAAAATAATGGAAAGTTCAGAGACCCAAAACTAAGAAGTGCTGGTTGAATTCCCCATCCTAGGGAGTTCATGATATCTGAAGACCTTTGTTTGAGTGCTATGTCAGGCACAAGGAACATTCCACAGACCCTACAGAGCTGAAATACTTGGGTCAAGCTGGATACTTGCTGTGTTCCTCTCTTGGTGTAGACTAGCTGGACAAAGAACAGGAGGAGAAGATGAGAAAGCAGCTTGTGTGTCCCACTGGACAGGGACAGCCTGTGTGTCCCACTGGACAGGGACAGCCTGTGTGCCCCACTGGACAGGGACAGCCTGTGTGCCCCATTGGACAGGGACAGCCTGTGTGCCTCACTGGACAGGGACAGCCTGTGTGCCCCATAGGCACGGCACCATGGACAGAACAGTGTAGCAAACTGAAATAAGACAAAATGAAGAGCTTAGTGTTTACAGTAAGATGAAGCATCAACTGATGTAACCTGTTCTGGCCAAACCTAGTGCTGTGGGGTTTGAAGTTCAGAATTAGCGCATCCGCTACTGACAGATTAATCACTAAATCTACTATGGAATTCAAGTCATTCATAATCTGCCATAGTTGAAGATACGTTTATTCTAAGACCCAGCAATTCTATTCCTAGATAAAAATTTTTGTTCTGTGTGCACAAATTGATGTGTGATGATGCTTAGATCAGCACCACTTGGATTCACAAAGCTTAGAAACAAACATCCAGCACCATTTGCATTAATTTTCTACTAAGGGGACAAATGGGCCAGTTAGCAGTTTCACACAGCATCTAATCATTGGCTCCTGGTTTCTGTAATCTGAATGGCAGGACAGACATCATTCTTTGCTCATGGTCAGAGACTGAAATCATGGTGTTACATGGGCTTTGCTCACATCTGGAGTTCAATCTCATTTGTGTTTGTATTAGAATCTATTTCTCAGAATGTGGGGAGAGTGATCAGATGGAGGCACCTAAGGACATCATATCTACCTCAACTTACCTAAGGACATTATATCTACCTCAATTTACCCAAGGATATCATATCTACCTCAATTTACCTAAGAATATCATATCTACTTCAATTTACCTAAGAACATCAAATCTACCTCAATTTGTGCATATTAAACTCTGCACAGTTACAGATGTATTTTAATTTAATATTTTGTTGTAGTTATACAAGGGATTGAACCTAGTGTCTAAAACTTGAGCTATATAATTCAGCCTCTATTAGATTATGTTATTTTTTTCCAGTACTTGGGTATCTATACCCAGTGTGTGCTAGGCAAATATTCTATACTGAGCTCTACCCTTAGTTTTATTTTTACTTTTGTTTCAAGACAAGATCTTATTGAGTTGCCCAGGTTGGCTTTAAACTCATCTGTAGCTGAGGCAAGATTTGAATTTGTGACCCTCCTGACTCAGCTCCCAAGTAGCTGCCATTATAGACTTGAGCCAACAGCCTTGCTCATTTTTGAGATATTTCACAACAAAATTAAGGTGCACGCCTTTAATCCCAGCACTCGGGAGGCAGAGGCAGGCGGATCTCTGTGAGTTCAAGGCCAGCCTGGACTACCAAGTGAGTTCCAGGAAAGGTGCAAAGCTACACAGAGAAACCTTGTCTCGAAAAACCAAAAAAAAAAAAAAATATGATAAAAGGCAAAAGAGTGAATTAAAAATTAATAAATATATCAGCAGTAATAATTGAAATAATATTGCTGAAAGTAAAATTAACCTTGAAGTTATTAGAAATGTACTCATATTCTCTCACTAAACATGGGAAATAGAGTAAAAAAAGAAGAGCACATTGTCTCTTCAAAATGTTCAGTAATTCTTTCAAGACAAGTAAAAGGATGATTAGTTACTTTAATAGTTGAAAGGAAACATGGACATTAATTTGTAATTAAGAGTTTTATAGCATTTATTGCATTTACAGTATAATAATTCTCTTGGACATAATTTTATAACTGAAAACTTAATAGAGCAAGTAATTAGCATTTAGACTTTGCAAATTAAGGAAGTTTCTATCAAATAACTAATATTAATATTTAAATACTTCCTGCTTTGGAGTGTGGTATATTACTTATGAATAAAAACTATCTGTACTTGGATACAAGAAAAAGAAATGAGGCCTATTGTAGTGTTTGTAGGGAGTTAGAATGGATAAAGATTAGTGTAGTAAATGTTTAGTGTATCCATTTTAGTAACATGTAGGCAGTTTCTTTATGTAGTAAGTATAGGGAAAAACTGAGCAAAACCTTAGAACAATGATGCTTATCAACATTTCTTTAAAAAGTATTAAAAAACATGATTCATTTCTTATGTGTCAATCACATGATTTCATTTTGCTGTAGGATGTTTATACCTTCTGTGTATCTTTGGTGCTCCAACTAAGGGTCACTGCCATAGCCTCTTTCTGAGTCTACTGGACTGCCTCTTTCTGCAAGGTGAGTGCTGTTTCTAACTTTCTAAAGTCTTCCATAGTTTATTTCATGCATCCTTCCATGGCCCTATAATTGTTGCTGGTAGCCACCTTCTAAGACAGCCAGGATGTATATCAAGTCAATATGAGCAGTTTACAATTTACTCAGGAGTATATCACATGACCTTTATTTTTTTATTTTGTATGTATGTGTACATGTGTGATGCTATATGAGTATGTGTTTGTGTATATCCACATATGTGCAGGTGCACATATACATGTATGTATAAGACAGAATTCAACATTGTGTTTCTTTCTCAATAATTTTCTATCTTAAACTTTGAGATGGTCTTTCACTGGGCCTGGAGCTCACTGCCACAGATAGACTAGATGGCCAGTGAGCTCCAGGGAACCACCTGTCTCTCTTTCCTCAGTGCTGGTATTTCAGACACAGAATGCCCATGGACTTTTACACTGGTTCTTGGAATCCAAACATAAATCCTCATACTTCTGTGGAAAGCACTTTACTCATCAAAATGTCTCTCCTGTCTCCATCATGGGATTTTTCTTATAGAACTATTAACAATTGTACTATGCTTTGACTAATACTATGAAAAACCCAACCTACCCCAAGTACCTAACCAACAGATAAGAAGAACAAAGGGAAGAGGAAACTGGAAATATGGCTCAACCAAGTAAAGTACTTGCCATCAAAGCCAAGGACCTGAGTTTGATTTCTAGAGCTCTTGTAAGAGAAAGCCAAGAGACATGGAAGTGAGCTCAGGGAGTGAAGTACTTGCTATGCATTAGGACTCCCAGCACACATATAAATACCAGGTGCAGTCACATTACTTTAACCACAGAGCTGGGAGGGTAGCAGAGACACTTATCACAGGATTTGCTGGCCAGCCAATGTAGCAAAAACTTCAAATTCAAGGTTCAGTGAGAGATCCCATATCAATGAAGTGTAGAGTGTTAGAGGAAGATACCTAGCATAAATTGAATTCAAATGTGTACATATGGGCAACAGTGCATTCATACACATGTGCACACACTAAATATACAAATATTTGAATTTACACTTGCCTACTTCACCAAAATAAAAGGTATTGTGGGATGTGCTTGTAATTCCAGCCCTTGGGATCAGGAGGTAGAGAGAGTGGCCCCCTCGGGTTGACTGACCTAGCTAATTTAGTTAGTTATAGGTCTGTAAAAATGTGAGTTGGATATTCTTTGAGGAATGATACCCAAACTTGTCATCTCACTTTCACATGATTGCTTACATGTGTGCACTGCACCTGTATGAACACATACCTATATACACATACATGTAGGGGAGAGAGAAAGGGAGGGAGGAAGGAAGAGAGGAAGGAAAAGATGGAGAGAGGGAGGGGAGAGAGAGAGAGAGAGAGAGAGAGAGAGAGAGAGAGAGAGAGAGAGAGAGAGAGAGAATGTCCATGTGTTTTTAATCATCTTTCCTGATGCTTTATTATCAGCCAATAACTACCCACAGTTCGTGCTTTGTTTGAATGGGAAGGATCATGTCTTCCTCCTGTAGTTGCAGTACTTTGAATGTTTCTTGTGAAATTTAATTATGTTCCCAGGAGCTTAACTTCTGATTGTGCTCATGTGCAGGGATATACCCCCGCCCCCTCTTGGTATCACAGTTTTGGATGTCAGCACTGCCCTTAGCTCAGTGACTGAGAAGGGACAGAGAGGGTGACCTGCTTTCCTTGGGATATTGGAGTGATCAGGGAGAAAGGAATGGTGGGGTCACTGGACATCTGAACATTTAATGCCGGTTTATGATTGGAAAATAGAGCTAAGCTGAAGGGGCAAGTCAGGGAAAGGTTTAGAAAGCAGAGTAGCCTTTAATACAGGCACCAATCTCAAACATACCAAGCAAGGTGTATTAGAACCTCTTAGAATGCTGTCTAATTCCAGGTGTGTTATTTTTGTATATTTTTCAGTATGTGTAATGGAGAAAAACCAGCACTTTTACTTGTATTTTGGTTATAAAAAAAACCTTAGCCGGGCGGTGGTGGCGCACGCCTTTAATCCCAGCACTCGGGAGGCAGAGCCAGGCGGATCTCTGTGAGTTCGAGGCCAGCCTGGGCTACCAAGTGAGTTCCAGGAGGGGCGCAAAGCTACACAGAGAAACCCTGTCTCGAAAAACCAAAAAAAAAAAAAAAAAAAAAAAAAAAAAAAAAAAAAAAAAAAACCTTAGAGAATAATTTGCCCAACACCACACAGCTACAAATATGATGTGCCAGAAGGTAAAATTGGAACCTGTGGCAGAAGTTCAAGTTCCTGAATGCAGCGATTATCGCATGGGTTCATGGCCCAACCCATATCCCCTGAGTCTAAACACTGCCGGAAACTCCAAAAGCATGTCTTTCAAAAAAAAAATGTTCACTTAGTGGCAAAATCTGATCTGGCATGAGACTTAACTTATTGTCTTTACTTGTTTGTTTAAATGTGCTACAGAAATATTAATGCATTGGTTACAAGGTGCCTCTTGTGATGGCCCTGCTGGTGACATTACCCTTCTAACAGCTGGAACTTCTGTACTAAAAAAGCTTTTGTGTAAGGGATATAAACATTGAGGCAAATTAGAGGAAATGGTAAAAGATGAAGGTATAAAATTAAAATAAGGTAATTTGTAAAGGACAGAACTGCCTTTTGTTCTTTTATTTCGCCTGTGCCAAGAAAAATGGCTGACACAGTAGCCTTCAACAGTGTTCTGAATCAGATTAGAGGGATGTATGGACCAAGACAGTATCAGTTCCAGTGGTATAGGGTGGAAGATGGACATGCACTGAAGAGGAACTACAGGAAGAGAAGGCGGGCTTTCTGAAGCAGCTCTAATCCTTGCCTACATCTCCTAATCACAGGAAGCAGAGCTGACCCATTTATGGAGAAACCTATGTGCCATTCTTCATAATACATCACAGGCAAACTCCTCTGCCTGACAATGTTGGTATACATCCAGGACATTACAGTTCCCTGAAAGGAGCTGCAGTCACAGACTCAGTCCCTCCACTGGGAAGACAGGCTCTAGGGCATAGCCATTCTCCTTGGCTCAGGTGCCTCTCTACTAGAGGCTTCTTTGCTAGGGACCCCACTAGAGCACTCTTCATTGTGGTGATATTTTATTTGTGCTTTGATAAGTAAAGCTTGCTTGGGGCTGGGTGGTGGTGGTGCACGCCTTTAATCCCAGCACTCGGGAGGCAGAGCCAGGTGGATCTTTGTGAGTTCGAGGCCAGCCTGGTCTACAGAGCGAGATCCAGGAAAGGCGCAAAGCTACACAGAGAAACCCTGTCTCAAAAAACCAAAAAAATAAAATAAATAAATAAATAAATAAATAAATAAATAAATAAATCTTGGAGATCAGGGGGGAAAGGTCAGTCATTTTAAGTAAGCAAAGTCTGTCAGCATACGTCCTTAATCTGATCACTTATCAGGAAGGATCTCTGTGTGTTCCAGGCCATACTAGGGAACAGAGCCAAGCATGGTGACACATGCCTTTAATCCCAGTACCAACCATAGAGACCAGGAGGTCTGTACAGACAGGCAGTGACAAGAAAGTGAGGTATCTGGGCTAAGAGCCAATGAGAGGGCAGAAAAGCAAGGCATATAAAGGCATGGGTAGACAGGAAGTAGCTTGCATTTGGAAGCTGCAGAGTTGGTGAGGTAAGGTTGGCTGGTGACCTTTCCTATTTCCCTGATCTCTAAGGCTTTCACCCTTATATTTGGCTCTGTGTTTTTTATTTAATAAGACCATTTAAAAATTCGTCTATACTTCTTTATTCTAGATCAGTGCATTTCCATGCCTGGATCCTCACTCTTTTTGGTAACCATCTCCTGGCTTATGAAAGTCAGGAACTTTTGTTTCATGACTTCTCAGAAGTAAAAGATCCATCCACCATGTACTACCTTGCAGACTCACCTGCTCTCAGCTTATGTTGTTCTTCAGGGACAAGAGCTATGAGGATGAGGGCTACTTTTGACTTGCTCAGTGCTTCTCTTTGAACAGCACATTGAGTGAATAGCATGCCTGTGAATTTCATTGGTTCCTAGTCCTTGTTGACAACCTTGTGCTCTAGATCTCAATACTTGTCTAAGGCTAACCTTTGTGGTTGTGTTCTGGATCTTGCCTTCTCCCTCACTAGGAACATACTGCCTTTGTCCTTCTTATGGCAATTGTTTTAAACCTCACCCTCCTGTAGAGCCCTCAGCCTTACATCTTCCTCTCACCACTGGCTACTGTGATGCTTGGGTTTTGTTAACTTGACACAAACTTGGATATATCTGGGGATAAGGAATCTTAATGGAGAAAATGCCTCCATAAAATTGGCCTGTAGGCAAGTCTCTGGCATATTGCCTTGAATAACTATTGATGTGGGAGGGCTCAGCTCACATGTGGGCAGTGCCACCCCTGGGCTTGTGGTTCTGAGTGCTGTAAGAACAGACTGAGCAAGCCATGGGGAACAAGCTACCATGAAGCGTTTCTTCATGGCTTTTGCTTCAGTTCCTGCCTTGAGTCCCTTCCTGGGCTTCCCTCAATGGACTGTGAACTGAAATATGTAAACCCTTTCCTCTCTGAGTTCTTTTTGGTCACGGTGTTTAACAAAGTAGTAGAAACCCTGACTAACACAGTTACCAACTATTCTTTATCTTTCCTCTGAAAACATGCTTATCTTAGACCTTTTGCACTTTGTATACCAACAACCCTATGGCTACATCATTTGCTCACCAGGGGTCACCTGTTCCAACAAGTCTTTCTGGACTTTTCCATCCTGGTCATGGGTCTCCCTCTAGGGTCCTAGGGTACCTTGTGCCTGCATAGCTGTGTGTTTATTTGCTTGTCCCTCCCCTCAACTGAGAGGTTAGAAGGACCTAAAATTTAGTTCTGTCTATATACTTGGTATAATTAAAATTTCCTGATTTGTTGTAAGTATGTAACAAATGGACGTATGGATGAAAAGTTTGTATCATAAAAGGATAAATTCTAACACTGATAGCTGTTACAAATTTAGAATAAAAATTATTAAAATATACCATATTAATACCTCCATTAAAAAACCTTTCTACTGCCAAAGCCGTTAAGAACATATTTTATCTTGTTTTAATCCATGATTATTTTCCCACAAACATAGGTCTTATTATTTCAACTTTTGGTGATGACACATATTGTCTTGTCTCAGTCACTAGACTGTTATGTTAGGTTTATTAGTCTACATGGGTCCTTTTAGTCAGGGACTGAATACTAAGTCCTGTTTATAGAGTCATTTGTTTGAATTTTAACACAAATAAAGAAGTCTGATCATCTACTAAAGTCATCTGAAATTTGATTATAATATATAGACAATCCAACGTTTGCTTTTAGGTTAGATGCAACATAAAAAGATGAACTATAAAATAAGCCTGAAATATGTTACATCTCACAAAAATGGACATTTTAGTTAAAATTTCTGCTTCCTTGTAAGTCATAGTCATGAAGGACCATTGCTCCCATTTTCTCTTACTGATGTTTTGTGGCATCCAAAGTATTATTTCCAAAATTTTAGAATTAATGTGTACTCTGATGGTGCTGAAAATGTATTCAAGTAACTACACCCTGCAGAATAGACTATTCAAAATCCTAAAATTTAATGTTCTCAAGTTATCAAAGATATGGTAATGCTTTTGAACCAGGACTAAAATGAAATTCCTTTGGGGTTAATCACCATTGGTAAAATAAGAACAATGGATTAAACTGGCCATGTGTCAAGTTCTCACCCTTGGAAATGTGGTGAATCTGTCCAGTTCTTCAACGAAGCAGAACATCTGCAAACTAATGGCTGACATAACAATCAAGAGGCTGGCAGTGAACACCACCAAGCTTCCAAGCTTTTTTCCAGGACCAAATATCTTGTACACAAAGTCTTCCAATGCAGGTGAAATCTTAATAAGCCGGACCACCCGAAGAACCTAGTTATGGAGAAGAAGATACACATGCTAGAAACAGAATTTTAAAGAAATCCATACTAAATATCGTTTTTCATGGTACTGTGTAAAAAAGTCATAATTTTCCATTTCATCTGGAGACTAAAAGTAGTAATATGGTAACAAAGACATCCCTAGCATATGGTTGGTCATATAGTGAAAACACAGCAAGTCTCAAATCAATGAGCAAGGACAAACATTGGCAACTGTTAGACATACAATATGATCATTGAAAATGTTATTAACTAGTACATACTGTTGACATGAAACTAATATTTTCCCAATGCTTAATACCCAAGTAAACATTTAATTCAGCATTAGTTATGTTTAATGTCTCTTGCAATAAGCCTTCCTAGGTATTACACACTCATAATGGGGAAAATCAAACATCTATCAAGGACTGGCTCAGACTCCTACTCCAACATCTATTTTCTCCTTCTTCCTTTAAATAGATTTTCCTGAGTTTTAGCCTAGTGCAACCCAGGGCAACAGACTCTATTTTCTAGCCTCTGCATCTGTAATCTGTAGCTGAGTGTGCCTAATGATCTAAGCTCAGGTTTAACAGATAATATAAACAAGAGTCTTGTGCAACTATAGGCATGGCAAATCAAACTTACCATAGATATTTATTTCCCATTTCTCTGGACTAAAAATGGAAACAGATGGAATGGTATCCATGAACACAAACTGAAACCCTTGCAAAGACTATGAAAGGTCAGATCTAACCTAACAGGCTGGATCCTTTGAGGATCTCGTGGGACAGAAGCACCTGTTTTCCCTGGGTGATCACCAGCTGCTGGAGAGAAACAAGCTTCACTCTTAGATAACCCTTGTGTTTTTAGAGCTTTTCTGTATTTGCTTAATTTGTCATCTCTACTCTACAGATGTTATGTATTATACCATATATTTATTTGGAAGGCATCTGCAAATCCAAACCCAAAGACAAACAATAAATTAGCTTTTAAATTTAAAATATTAATTATGTGCCAAACATGTTAGGGAAATAGTTTTATGGTGCTATTATAAAAGAGCATAAAGCAGATATCAGTTCTGAAGGTAATATAAAATGATTAACAAATATAAATGAAGGGTTGAAATATGGCTCCATAGTTAAGAGTATTGGCTGTTCCTGTGAAGAACTGGGCTCGGTTATCAGCACCCACATCAGGTTGCTCACAGCCACTATAACTCCTGTTCTAGAGTATTTGACACCTTTTCCTGGCCTCCACAGGCACCAGGCATGCATGTAGTACACATATATACATGCAGGCAAAGCACTCATGTACAACAAATAAAAATAAATAAAACCTTTAAAAAAAAGTATAAATTGGCATGTAATAAAAAGCTGAAATAAAGATGACATTTTTCACTAGGTGTAAGGTGTCATCATTATTTTGATTACCTCCAAGGAATAAATAAAAATGTTAATTAATATATGACAGGCCATTGATCATAAGAGACATTCCAAGTTTAGAAATCCTAAATTCATAAACTGTGTTATTAGCATAAACAAAACATCATACACAGAAGGGCAATTCTAGATGGTTCAGCATCCATAGGAGTCAAGGTTGTCTGGAAAAGATGGATATCTTATTTGGAATATTTTAAAAGTGATATCATAATGTTTTCCACATGTAAAATAGCTGCTGGCTTTTGCTTTTCCAGTGTTCTTCTTATGTTTCCCAACTTTCATTTCTGCTGTTTGCTTAGACCATGAGGCTTAGGCAGAGCCTCCCAGCTTCCATATCCCAGGTCTGGCTAGAATATTCAGAGACCTCACTATCCTCAGGAATTTTGCAAGAACCATGTAAGGCCCAAATGTCTGGGAAACCATCTTTGCCAACTACATGGAACAAGCCTGTTTAAGAAAGAAGTCAACAGAAAAGTAAAGAAATAGGTAGAGTCCCTATGAAACCACATAACCTTCATCCTCTGAATTCCACCATATATGAAGCCTTACCTACTTCCCTAGACTTTTATTCAACGGGAAACACTGATGGGGAACCTTATTGCCCCTACTCTGAGAACAGATTCACAGCTTGCAATATATCGAGTAAATTAACTGCACACACGACTGAATGAGTTGTGAGGATGCATACTTAGAACCTTAATGCTTCGTGGTCTAGCTGCTAGCTTTTCGTTCTGTAATTCCTGACACATTCCCAGCCTGCCACTCAACTTGTGACCATCCTCCCACCTCTGGAATGCTGAGATTACATGCCTGGCTGATATTCTTCTTAACTGGATTGATAGGTTTGAAATCAAGATATTTCATTGTTTTCACTATCAGGCACATCATCCATAATTGTGTCCTAAGACATAAACACAAATTGTTCATGCTGATAATTCAAATTCAGACAGCCCTGTCCAAGAACAACTAATGACAGCATGTTTAGTGTACTAGTTAATTTTCTCTTGTTATGACAAAAATTTATCTGAACAAAGTAAGTTAAAGAGAGAAAAGATTTATTTTGGTGCTGTGGAATGTCATTTTGTATGCTGTGATGTGTGCTGCTCAGATTGATTGATAAATAAAATACTGGTTGGCCAGTAGCCATGTAGGAAGTATAGGAAGGGTAAACAGATGAGGAGAATTCTGGAAACAGGAAGGCTGAGTCAAGAGTCGCCAGCCAGACACAGAGGAAGCAAGATGACAAGGCAGAACTGAGAAAAGGCACCAAGCCACATGGCTAAACATAGATAAGAATTATGGGTTAATTTAAGTGTAAGAGCTAGTCACTAATAAGCCTGAGCTAATGGCTGAGCAGTTATAAATAATATTAAGCTTCTATGTGATTATTTTATAAAAGGCTGCAGGACTGTGGGTGGAGAGATTTGTCCCAACTGCAGGCCAGGTGGGACACAGGAAATCTTCTGACTACTTTTTGGCTCACAGTTTGAGAGGATTTACTCCATCATGGTGATTTAATCCATTTGGGTCCTTAGACTAGGTGCTGTTACCACCTAGATAGCATTTTAGCTAATCCTCTTTGGTAACATTCTCAAAGACACACAAACATGTCCATAGTGTGCCTTACTAATATCCTAGTTGAAGCTCATTCTAATCACGCTGATGGTCAAGATTAGCTATTATATTTGATATGCATGTTTATTCACAGAGATTTTTAAGACACATTTAAAATTCTTGAGCAAACTACTTCACTGGTGGCTTCTAAAGATCAAGACAGAATCCTATAGATCATGAGGTGTTTATGTCCAAAGACATGATAGAACAGCCAGAGCCATCAAAGCACCTTTGGGATATTAACAGGCTCTGGTTCATAGAAGCCCACTTGTAGGTCTGGCTTTGTGGAGTACTTGCTTTCAATTTTTGTGGACTATGGTTTCATGTTTGTTTCTGCAATTTTATGTTGAGTTATAAGTTGTATTATGAAAGCTAGAGTTAGCATTGTTCTAAATGCGATGGATTTGTTATTACCAATAAGTAAAATCATGAAGTTGGAAAGCATTTTCTTGTAAGGCAGTGGTTCTCAACCTGTGGGTAATGACCCCCTAGCCAAATCTTTATCTCTAAAAGTATCTACATCATGATTCAAAACAGTAGCAAAATTACAGCTATGAAGTAGCAACAAAAATAATTTTATAGTTGGGAGTCACCACAGCATGAGGAACTGTATTAAAGGGTTGAAGCTTTAAGAAGTTTGATAATGACTGATCTAAGTAATTAAAATCTTATTTCTCTAAGATAATATTTAAAATTCTGCTGCCATTTTAATCCTCAACTATTTAAAAATATCTCTTCAGAGAGTATTAATGTATATTCTGATATTCCCATGACAAATTAAACAAATGCTAGTCAGAAATTTGACTGCATTTGAAATATTTTCAATTAGACTACTGCATGTATTTTAATAATCATTTTACATTAATTTAATAGCACAATGAGCACATTATAATATCAAATGATTATGAAAATGTAATTAATAATTAACATTTATTAAGTAATTATAAAGCAATGCTATCCAAAATATCACATTTGAAAAAGATATATAATTGTTATAAAAGAATAATTACAAGTATCATTATTTAGCCACCACAAAACAAAAAAAAATTTGTAAGTAATAATATAAAATGAATTAAAATATGTGAAGGTAAATTTTACAACCCTTAATGCATTCATTGTAAACTATTGTTCTGTAAGAACATTTACAAGGAAGGTATACATTTGAAATAAACTCATATCTTCTCCTCTTCTTATTTTTATTTGTTATTTATAATATTTAAATTCCAGTCACAGTTTCCCCTCCCTCTTCACCTCCCATTTCCTCTCCCCCCCCCCCCAATCTACTTCTCCTTTATTTCTGTTCAGAAAGGAGCAGGCCTCTCATGGGTATCAACAAAGCATGGCATATCAAATTGTGGTTAGACTAAGCACCTCCCCTTGTATTTAGGCTGGGCAAGGCAAACCAGTATGAGGAATAGGTTCCCAAGAGCCAGCCAAAGCATTAGGGACAGCTCCTGCTCCCATTGTTAGGAGTCCCACAAATAGACCAAGCTATACAACTGTCACATGTGTAGAGGTCTTAGGCTGGTCCCATGTAGGTTCCTTGGTTGTTGGTTCAGACTCTGTGAGTTCCTATGGGCCAGACTAGCTGTTTCTGTGGGTTTTATTGTGATGTCCCTGACTGCTCTTGCTCCCATGATCCTTCCTCCCTCTCTTCAGCAGGATTCCCTGAGCTCAGCCTAATATTTTGCTGTAGGTCTCTGCATCTGTTTCCATCAGTTACTGGATGAAAGTTCTCTGATGACAATTGGGTTAGCCACCAATCTAATCACAAGAGATGGCAAGTTCAGGCTATGCATCCACTGCTGCCAAAAGTCTTAGCTGGGGTTGCTCTTATAGACTCATGGAGTTTCCCTTGCATCTGGTTTCTATCTGTCCCTAAAAAGCCACCCCACTCCAGTCATCTTTTTCAGTACTCTCCCCCTCCACCCACCCCCAATCTGATACCTCAAGTTTCCATTCCCACCAGCCCCCAGTTCACCCAGGAGATCTCTTTTATTTCCCCTTCCCAGGGAGATCAATAATTCTCCCCTTGACCCTTCCTTTTTATCTAGCCTCTCGGAGTCTGTGGATTGTAGCATAGTTATCCTTTACTTTACAGTTAATATTCAGTTATGAGTGAGTTCATACCATGTTTTCCTTTCTGGGTTCATGTTAGCTTATCAGGATTTTTTTTCTAGTTCCATCCATTTGCCTTCAAATTTCCTGATGTCATTGGTTTTAACAGCTCAACAATACTCCATTGTGTAAATGTACCACCTTTTCTTTATCAATTCTTCAGTTGTGGGGCATCTAGGTTGTTTTCAGGTTCAAGCTACTACAAATAATGTTGCTATGAATATAGTTGAGAAAGTGTCTTTGTGGTATGATTGAGCATCCTTTGGGTATATGCCTAGGAGTAGTATCACTGGGTCTTGAGGTAGACTGATGCCCAATTTTCTGAAAAATTTGCCATATTGATATCCAAAGTGATTGTACAAGTTTGCATTCCCACCAGAAATGGAGGAGTGTTCTGCTTGCTCCACACCATCTCCAGCATAAGCTGACATTTGTGGTTTTGATCTTAGTCATTCCAACAGGTGGAATCTCAGAGTCGTTTTGATTTGCATTTCTCTGATGGCTAAGGATTTTGAACATGCTGTTAAGTGTTTCTCTACCACTTGAGATTCTTCTGTTGAGAATTCTCTGTTTAGGACTGTACCCCATTTCTTACTTATAGTGTTTGGTTTTTTGCTGCCTGTTTTCTTGAGTCTTTATATATTTTGGAGATAAGCTGTTGTGGGATATTTGATGTAAAGATGTGTTGCTGTTTTACCATGTCTGCCTAAGACACCTGATTGGTTTAATAAAAAGCTAAACAGCCAACAGCTAGGCAGGAGACGTTGGGTGAGACTTTCAGGTGGAGAGACGAATAAGGGGTATGAATCTAGGTGCAGAGGGGACGCCAGTGAGACACTGATGAAGTTGGATGTACATTGTGGAGGATAAGTAACAAGCCATTTGGCAGAACACAGATTAATATAAATGGGTTAATTTAAGTTATAAGAGCTAGTTGGGGACAAGTATAAACTAACCCAAAGCTTTCATAATTAATAATAAGTCTCTGTGTCATTATTTGGGGGCTGGCAGTCCACAGAAAGTCTGACAACAAAGTCCAACTACAATCCACACTCTGTTGGATGTGGGGTTGGTGAAGATCTTTTTCCATTCTGTAGGCTGCCATTTTGTCCTATTGACAGTGCCCTTTGCCTTAAGAAGCTTTTCAGTTTCATGAGATCCCATTTATTAATTGTTAATCTTAGTGTCTGTACTACTGGTGTTCTATTCAGGAAGTTGTTTCCTGTGCCAATGCATTCAAAGCTATTCTCTAGTTTCTCTATCAGGTTAAGTGTAACTGGATTTATGCTGAGGTCTTTGATCCACTTGGACTTGAGTTTTGTGCAAGGTGATAGATATGGATCTATTTACATTTTTTTTACATGCCAACATAGAGTTATGTCAGCCCCATTTGTTGAAGATGCTTTCTTTTCTCCATTGTATACTTTTGGCTTATTTGTCAAAAATCAGTGTCTGTAGTGTGTGGATTTTTGTAGTACAGATCTTTCACTTGCTTGGTCAGAGTTACACCAAGATATTATATATTATTTGTGGCTATTTGTGGATAGATACTGATTAAAATTGAATTTGTTGTGAATTATCTTATTTTCTCTATCTATGGTGATTGAATTTTTGCTGGGTATAGCGGTCTGGGCTGACATCCATAGTCTCTTAAGAGTCTGCAAGAGGTCTGTCCAGGTTCTTCTGGCTTTTAAAAATCTCCATTTAGAAGTTGGCTATAATTCTGATAGGTCTGAATTTAGATGTTACTTGGCCTTTTTTAATTTGCAAATTTTAACATTCTTTCTTTATTCTATCTGCTTGGTGTTTTGATTATTATATAGCAAGGGACTTTTTTTTTTTTCTGGTTCAGTCTATTTGTAAATTTCTTGTACTTTTATAGGTATGTTCTTTTTTAGGTTAGGAAATTTTTCTTCTTTGATTTTGTTGAATATATTTTCTAGGCCTTTGAGCAGGGATTCTTCTCCTTCTGGTCTTTTCATAGTGTCTCAGATTTCCTGGATGCTTCGTGTTAGGCAATTTTTAGGCTTAAATTTTCTTTGACTGATGAATCTATTCCCTTTATTACATCTTGTAATATTACATATTACAATGTCTGAAATTCTCTCTTCCATTTCTTGTATTTTGTTGGTGAAGCTTGCATCTGTAGTACCCAGGTTTTTCATTTCCAGAATTCCCTCAGTTTGTGTTTTCTTTCTTGCTTCTATTTCCATTTTCAAGTCTTGAACAGTTTTATTTGTTCATTAACTGTTGTTCATTTTTTCATGGGTTTCTTGACATTCTTTAAGAGATTTATTGATTTCTTCCAATTTTTCGGTTGTCTTTTCCTCTTTTTTTAAGGGATTTTTTTCATTTCTTCTTTAAGGACCTCTATCATATTCATAAAGTTATTTTTAAGGGCATTTCTTTGTACTTCAGTTGTGTTGGAATGTTCAGGTTTTCCTGTTGTAGGATAGCTGGGTTCTGGTGGTGGCATACTGCCCTTTCTGTTATTGACTGTGTTTTTACACTGGCATTTAGGCATCTGGATACGGGATGATTATAGGTCTATGTGTTTGTCTTAGTTGGTTGGGTGTTTTGTTCCTTGGTTTCTGTTTCCTCTTTGATCTTTTGGCCTAAGGAACCAAGGGTTCTAATGACTGGTAAGATGTCAAGGCCAGTAGGGTGTCTCTGCTGGGGTTTTCAGGGCCTTGCATTCCCTGATCTGGTCTGGCCTCTGGCAAAGCTGAAATCTTGGGTCTCTAGATCTGGCCTGGCCTCCAATAAAGCCTGAGTATTCTTCTGGGGTATGTAGAATCTGGCTTCTGGTAGAAGTGCTGGGCTGTTCTTCCAACTGGTGTGGACTGTGTCTGGGCCTATGGAGTCTGCTGGGGTTCTGGGGAAGGACTGCTTGTGGACTGCTTGGTGAAAGTGGTTGTGATTGGTGAGGTCTGTGCCTCAGTGGCAGAAGTTCACTGGCATTGGGGGCAGGGCCCAGCAGCAGTTGGGTCAGGAATTAGCTGAGATGACTTTGGCTTAAGGAAGTATCTCAGAGGACAGAATCCAGGAAGGGGTGCAGTTCTTCTGGCAGCTGGATTATTCACCCATTCTGTTTTGTGTGGCCTAGTCCTATTTGGCAGAAGTCTTCTGGGGTTGGGGGGAGGGCCCAGCAGTGGGGCTCAAGGACTAGCAGGGACAGCATGGGCTTAGGAAAGGGTCACCAAGGGCAGAATCCAGGGAGGGGTGTAGTTCTGCTGGCGGGTGGGTCACTCACCCTTTCTAGCTGGTGTGGTCTATGCCTCAGTGGCAGAAGTCACTGGGACTTCCTCGTAAAGTTCTGCCAACATCTTATTTTGGTTTAAAATTCTATATCTATGGATAGATGTGTGATAAACACATGTATATACGTGTGTATACTTGTATATAACTAAGTGGGAGCAGTGTAGCCAGATATTTGATCACACACTGTGAACCCAGAAATCGTGTTATTTACTGAGAAAACCTGTTTGTAGTTGTGGTATGGATCAAATAAACCTTTGATCCAAGAGCTTTCTGCTCGAATATTATAAACAGGATTAAATAAAGTCAACCATAGGTCAAGAGGGAGAGCAAGCAACCAGTTGACAGGAAGTGAATAGAGGATGATTAGAAAAAAACAGACAGTAAGAGGGAGTCAGGAATATGGATAGCGAGATGCATAGGAAGTAGAAGAGAGGGACATTTCAGTTTGAGGTGGGCTTTGAGATGGCATAGGAGGAGAGAGGCATCTGGGATACTGGCTGAGGAGGAAGGTCAGTGGGGTGCTTTCTCTGCCTCTGTGAGCTAGCAATCTTTCACACAAGCATCTGGCTCCAGAGTCTTTGTTCATAAAATCAAATGATTGAGATTTTATTAACAACAGAGTAGTTTTGTTAAAGATTTGTATATATTACTGTGAATTCTAAGGAATTTAAAGGCAATGATAATAATTTGTTAATGCACTATTTTTGGTAGTTAAGATGTCATTGAACCTCCCTCAAAGTCATATTACTATATATGTACAATATATATTATGTGGTTTTATGTAGTTGTTATAGTAAATAATTTCCATTTTTATGGGAAATAGAAATTAGTTGTATTACCTGGAAGTATGTGAACTGAGAATGATAAAGATCTGGGTACACATGGAGGGTGGTTCCAATAACAAGCAGTAGTTCAAACTTGTGGAGAGATGAGCTGATATAGCCAGTAAATCCCAAGCACCATATCTTCAGAAGTGCTTCCAGGTCAAAAAGAACTGTAAAAGCTACCTAGAGGAACAAGGAGACACCGAGAATGACATTTAAGACTACACATTCCCTTATATATTTCCTTATATATTTATCAAAAATATATAATTATGTATTTTTTGTTAAATAAAAATATATATTCCCTTATATATTTCCTTATATATTTATCAAAAGTGAGTTACAGCCACTGTATATAAACTAAAAAGCCCCACAAGGTCAAGAATGACATTTAACATTTAAAAATTTATATATATATACATGCACATGTACATATGAGTGTAGTTGCCTGTAGAGGCCAGAGAGGGCATTATATCTCCCTGCAGCTAAGGGAGCTTTGAAATACAGATGTGAGTGCTAGGAACTGAACTCTGGTTGTCTGCAGCCAGAGTTCTTTTTTTTTATTTAATTTTTTTTTTTTTTACATTTTTCATACCAACCACAGTTCCCCCTCCCTGCCCTTCTCCCACTCCCTCCTCCACTTCCCCCCACTTCACCCCCATCCACTCTTCATAGGGGGGTAGGGCCTCCCTTGGGGAGTCAACACAGACTAGCATACCAAGTCAGGGCAGGACTAAGCCCCTCCCCACCTGTATCAAGGTTGAGTAAGGCATCCCACTATAGGGAATGGGCTCTGAAAAGCCAGTTCATGTACCCAGGATAAGTCCTGGTCTCACTGCTAGGGTCCCCACAAATAGATCAAGCCACATAACTGTCACCCACATTCAGAGGACCTAGTTTGGTCCATTGCAACCCCAGAGAAGCTAGATAAAGAGGAGGATCCTAAGAGGGACATGCATGGATCACCCCAGGAAGGGGAAATGGTTAAGATCTCCTGGAAAAACTGAGAGGGGGCATTGAGGAGATAGAGATGGCACAGTTGGGGGAGGGACAGAGAGAGTAATGAAAGAAATATCTTGACAGAGGGAGCCATTATGGAGTTAGAGAGAAACCTAGTGCTAGGGAAATCCCCAGGAACCCACAAAGATGACCCCAGCTAAGACTCCTAGCAATGGTGGAGAGGGTGCTTGAACTAGCCTTCCCCTATAGTCAGATTGGTGACTACCCTAATTGTCATCATAGAGCCTACCATCCAGTGACTGATGGACGCAGAAGCAGAGACCCACAGCCAAGTACTTGGCTGATTTCTGGAGTTCAGATGAAGAGAGAGAAGAGGGATTATAGGAGCAAGGGGAGTCAAGATCATGATGAGGAAAACCACAGAGACAGCTGACCCAGCTAGTGGGAGCTCAAGGACTCTGGACAGACAGCTGGAGCCTGCAGCCAGGGTTCTTCATCTCTGATTTATCTCTCCAGTTCTAACATTTTTTTTAAAGCTGTATTTGAATCACATCGGTTAAAACACCAAAGACCAAAGCTATATTAGACAATCAGAAATATCATTGATTTATCTAGCTTTTGAGGTACATAACAAGGAGAGAAATTGAGAAGCTATAACAAGTAAGAAATTTGTGTATATAAGTTGATATATTTTAAAATCTTTCACATAAATTCCAATAACTTAATATCAAAAACAGCAATACTATAAAGTGCACAAATATAAGTAGCAGGTAATAACATTATTCTTTCCCTGCTCTGAGGGTGACACTTCTTATTTTATTAAAATAAATTATAATTGGAATTAAAATAAGCAATACTATATTAACTTCTAACTAAAGGACATGAGAGTAAATGTTGGGATTAGTCATAATTTTACAATGTCTCAGCACACACTGTAAATTGTTGGAAATTAAATCCTCTTTTTTCTAGGCCATTATTGAATATCAAAAAAGATTTTATTCCACTCATATTTGGAAAATGTAGAGAATATAAAGTAATGGAATTAGAGTAATAACATATCAAGAGATGGAATACTAGAAGCAATACAGATTGTTAATTTAGATATGCAGAAGGATTTAGTTATTTTTGAAGGCTACCATGTCTGTAGATTCTACTTGCTTTCTATTCTTGTTGGATATTTCTCCTCTAGGAACACTTAAAAAAACAACACATCTTAATTTCTAACTGCATTCTAAATACTATCTGTATTCCCACAGATAAGCCTTGTTCTCATCTCTCACCAAAGATGCTTCTATTTGTAGCAGAAAGAGACCATTATAAGAATCTACAACTAGTCAAAATGCAAAAAAAAAAAAAAAAGTGGAAGAGATGCTACGTCTACAATATAACTCCATTCTGATGGTTCAGAGAACATTGTGGAAGAGAGGACAGAAAGACTGTAAGACCCAGAGGGCCAGAAAGTCTACTTGGAGATAGGGTCTTCTATATATGATAGAAAACTGCACCCATGTAAGACCAGCACAATGACAATACCAGTTGACATGTCAATATGGATGAGGAAAATCTCACAAGACCCCATGTTTAAGAACTACAGGCAATTAATGGCTGAGAGAGGGAGAGTAGAACTGCAGTGGTCCTCTGATAGCTTATCCAGCCTAAATGCATACACACATATGAGCAACATTAAATAGACTAAGTTACACACCACACACACACATACACACACAAACTTGTAACAATAATAACTATGAGATGTAGATGAATTTCTAAACAGTCTTATTAAATAAGAAACACAGAGCCAAATACAGGGATAATAGACGAAGAGATCAGAGAAATAGCGAATGGCCACGACTAGCCTTATCTTACCACCTCACCATCTTTTCCCCAGAGGGCTTCTTCCTGTCTAAACTGCGCTTGTATTGCCTTCCTGTTCTGCCTTCTCATTGACTCTAAGCCCAGCCACATCACTTCCTCATCACTGCCTGTCTATACAGACTTCCAGGACTCTATGGTTGGTACTGGGATTAAAGGCACGTGTCATCATGCTTGGCTGTGTCCTTGACCATATAGAGACTCTGCCTGCCATGTGATCAGATTAAAGGCGTGTGAGACCACCGCCTGACTTCTGTTTATGGCTCGCTATGTGACCTCTGATCCCAGGCAAACTTTATTTATTAACATACAAATAAAATCACATTTCAGCACAAATAAAATATTACCACACTGAGATAATGTAAAGAACACAAGAAAATGTGAATAAGCTTCTTAGTTCACCTTTGTCTGTTAACATACTGTGTTCTCTCCTCAGTATCTCCATACGTACAGGGCCAGCACTTTAAATGTCACTGTGAATGTTGCTTTTCTCTTTCACATGCATCCTATCCCTCTACATTAAAGGAAAAAGACCCTACTCACTTTGGACCATCTACATAATTTCCCATGGTGTTTATAACTTATTCCACTTAATATTCTCCATTTTAATTCGCTGACTGGTAGCACTTGAAAAAATCATTAGGCATACACAGTCAAACTCTTCTCCTATCTATTCTCCTATACATCAGCAAATGACTAACATTTTGTTTAGCTTTCAAGAACTGTAGAACAGCCTGGTCTCTCTCTCTCTTACCATTATGCCTTAAACTTCAGCTTGCTGTCATTACAGGTGTGTGCTACCTTGCCTGTTTTATTGAGGATTTTATACATATAAGTAGACTTCCACACTTGGCATTATGAGAGAGGGTACAAAAACAAGACTTGTGTGTTTTAAAGTTTGGAAAGTAAAAGATCACTTCCAAAACATTTATAATAAACTATCTGCCTCTCAGGAATGTCAAAAGTTATTCTTGTCCATAAATTTTGATCAGCAATAGCACAGTCAGATGCAATGCTTCTCATGTATTAATATGTGTATTGATCTCTTAGAGTTAATTTCTTTTTAAAGTAATTATATTTTGCTGTTCATAGCCTTGTCAATGTTGTGTGGTGCTATTTTATCTTTCTTATCAGTTTTGAGAGTTTTTTAATATTAAAGTCATAAATATTTATCTACTAAATGTACTGGATATATTTATCCCTTAGTTAATAGTTTACAACTTTGCATTTTACACTTTCATATCCTTTTATCTTCAGACGCTATTTTAAAAGATTACCTTTTGAAGTGGTGTTATGGCCTGAACCTGTAATACCAGCACTGGGCAGGCAGAGGCAGGAGTAAGTTGAGACCCTGTCTTTAAAATGATAAATGAAGTATGCAGAATGGGGCTTGAAAACTAGTATTTAGTCACCACAGCCAGAAAAGTATTATGTTGTCCTATTTATCTGGACCACATTACATATTCTTTAGCAAAACTTTCAGATATATTTGTGTATATATATATATATATTTCCCATAGGCATACAATATATATAAGTGTGCATGTGCATGGTGTGTGTGTGTGTGTGTGTGTGTGTGTGTGTGTTTCTACAAAGTTCCAAAAGACAGAAAAACAACTGATTTTTCTGTTTGGTTTTATATGCCTACATAACTCAGATATTTTTAGTAAAGTCTCCTGGGTGTCATTAGAAATGTGTATATACCATCTATAAATGAAATATTTCTTTTTTAAGATTTGCTTGGGAGTTAATTATACTAGTTCCCATGTTGTAGAGATCTAGCTGTAAGGTAGTTACTGCACAGTACAGTCATAATAACTGGAGTTCATCATCTTCAGTGAAAATACCATCAGTTTAGTATGCAATGTTCCAAATGAGGCTTGATAATTAAAGGCTTTGGATTTCTATTTTCTTACTATTCATCAAAGCAATAACATATATCACAAAGACTTCTAATAGGCATTATTTGTTTATTCGAGGAATACATTCTAAATAATAAGAATCACCTGTGGACATTTAATGGTAAAAATATATGTAAAGAAATTCTAATTTACTTGAGATTATAGATTAGCCTCTCACTGGGAAAACTGTATCACAATGTACAGGAGAGGATTAGCTGAAATAGTTAATTATTTTGGTATGTGTTGTGAGGTTTGGCAGAGAATTTAAATTCAGAGGAATATTAAATAGTTCTTAGAAGTATCCAGGAGGCAAGCTTGAGAGCCCCTTGCCATGGGAGATTCAAAAATATTTCTGTAATCTCAACTTTCATGATTGTTAAGGCATGGTAGAACTTTCTAGATTATTGCTATTGGTCACATAATTTGAAGAAGGTAGATAGTCTGCCTGTA